GAATCCTCAATGGCATCTTAAAGTCTCAAACAGTAATTAATTTCTTAAGCAGCTTAGAGAAATAGTTCTGAAAAATAAGATCAGTGATTCTACTTAAAGCAGCAAGTCTACCCTGTACTTCCATTCCAATGTTTCTGCCAAGATACAATTTCTCTTCCTACTACTACTGACCAAGCAGCGTATTCTTCTTGGCAAAGAAAAACAAAGCCATTGACATCTCAACAGACAAGCTATTGGAAGAGCTGTGTTAGCAATTCTGTATTTCAACTGAAAGACAGTAAATGGGAAAATTCCAGTGGTGTGCATACTTGATTACTGTAGAGCCATGCAAATGCAACAATAATTTCAAACAAACTAATTTACCTGGTTACTGATAAAAGTGAGATTCTGAAAATCAAATCCTTAACCTTGAATTAAGATGACTTAAGAGAAGATTTCCAAGTCTTGTCACCTCAGCAATCTTAAAGTCAGCACATGAATTTCTATGGACAGAACAGTATTTTTAAAGTATTCATGCTGATGAAAGTATTAGTAAAGGAGAAACACTGACCTGTCTAGTTTCAAAGTGCAAGGACAGGGAGCAGATTCTGGAATGAAGAAACAGGAAGATAGCCCAGCATGAGGGACTTGGCGTATTTACAGCAGAGGCACTGAAGAGAGGTTGTTCAACAGGCTTTTTATCACCAGGAAGTTCCTACATCACTTAGTAGAGCACTTGTCAAAGCCAGCATGGAAAGGAAGACCACCAGCTCAAAGACAATGCCCTCAAGCACTGCAATGTTAAGCACATGAAAGGGAAATGTCCCTGTCCTGCAGCAGACACCCTGCTTATTGCAATGCCCTGCTGGAGCACACGGGTTCTGGCCATTCCCAATCAAGCCTGCACAGCACCTAAACAAACTGATAGCAATGAAAGATGAATAGCTTCCATATGTCAAAATAGCCATGGCTAATCCCCAGTCCTGAACAGGGAAACTGTGATCTTCATACAATGCAATATCCACCATTTCAGACCAGTACAGCGTCTTCTTCCTTAGTACACTACTTCTACAGCACAAAACAGAGTTGTGAGCCAGTAGAACTGTTTAAACAAGGACTGAACACACACAGCTGCACTGCTTGTTTCCAGCATAAAATACAACAACGTTTCACTTCTGAAATACTTAGATTTTTTTCCTCTTTGCTCATTAAAGGCTAAGCTCACTACACATGGTGAAAAATACTCAAACCACTTTAGTGTGCCAGAACTCCAAGAACTTCATCCTGGTGTTTCAAGAGACTGAAAAAACTCTTCCATAAAATATAGGGCACCCCTAACAGCTCTGTATTTAGTTTTTCTTCAATATATTTTCAATAAATATATTTAACTTCTACATCCAAAGAAAACTTAATTATTATCTTTGGGATTTGTGAAATAAAAGTGAATATCATTGGTGAACTGTACCTGACCAGACAGATACAGCAGATGAATTTTGGCAAAATTCCAGGAACGTTTAAGGAATGTTCATCAGTTATATTTAATTAAAAATCAGTCAATCTTACTTCCTACAACTACTAGTTCTATAGTTGATACTAAGGTTGGTGGGGAGAGAAAGAAATGGAGTACACTACTTTTTCCATTACCTCCTAGTGCATCCAGCCTTCTGTGTACCAAAATTCCAACTTAACCATTACTGTACTTTGTTTACTATTCTACCCTTTCCCCTGCCTTCACCTGAATTCTTCTCCAGTAATTTCTGGACTGCCTACAAATTATGTGTGTTCAAAAGAATCACAAGGACTCAATTATTTTAGCTGTTCAAATGTGGAGATCCACATTTGCTCTAAATTCCTCAGAATCTCTGAGCAGTAGAACATCTACTCGTAGACCTAACAGCAAATAGTTAAAACTATAAAAACTATATGAGCTAGACACTTTTTTTTAAATGGAAGTTTAAGGAGAACAGTCATTGCTAATCCTGTGGGTGTTTTTTTATTTGAGCTAATTATGCAGATCTCTTTCCTGCTGTACTACAGGAACTCTGAATTGTAAAATGTCTTTCAAATGGAAAAATGTTTCCATTAGAAACTCTACATGCCTGTAGAGTGACCAAAAGAGGTTAGTCTAGTTACAGTGTGTTGAACATGCAAAGACAAAGTGTACATACTTCTGAACTCAGAATTTGTCAGGGAAGTAGAAATGCTGGCGTGTGAGCAAACCTATACACATGAGAAAGGTACTGACCATGCAAGATGCTTACTACTGAACAAACAAAAAACCCAAACTCTAAAAGCCAATTATTGCCCTTTGCTATGCAAAGCTGGGCAGGTTGGCAACATTTGTGTTACAAGTACACATCTTAAAAAAAAAAAAAAAAAAAAAAGATATGAGGTCTCAGAATTAAAAACACACACAAAACAGATTGAAAAAACCCAACTTTATGCTTCATCTGCAAAAACACAAGGCAGTTATCCACTTAGCTCCTGTGGTAATTATCTCCATGAAACTGAGAATGGGAATGGGCTTATACTTGCGTTAACAGACTGTGTACCAGTAACTACGTGTTTGTAAGGTATTGCATCCTTTCAGTAACACTTGGGCCAGTTCCCAAAGCATCTCTTGATAAAACCTCATGGCATGCTAAAACCTCAAGGCATGCTGAACAGGACACATGGCCTGGCTGGGCCAGGAGGCAGCATGGGTTTACCCAGGACCATCTCATTCCTGGCAGGGGCCTCAGAGCTGCACAGGCAGACCTCAACTCCTCCTACTGCTCAGCTTCCCACAGAGCACTAGAAGAGGTGGCAGAGGAAGAAGTGCTACAGTCTTCAGAAAAGATGTGTAGAATGAGGAGAGGCTGCAGGATGAGAGAGGTGTGAAGAGAAGAGTGAAGGCACAGAAGGGAATTAATTTTTCTAATAGCCTGCACTTAAGACTTCCTAAAAGATGTCTCACAAATTCAAGCCAAACACATAACCAAAACTTCACAAAGCAGGGTCATTAAACAGGGCATACAAGTAGTTCATTAGCATAATTTTCAGTGTGATGAAAAGCAGCTTTGAGCATTTTCTATTCACCACGTGTTATAAAGATATCACATCATACGGCAGACTACACATCTGTCTCACAGGCCTCATCCCTGTGAGACACAGGAAAAGATCACAATGACACAACAGCTTTTAGCCTATCCAGATACCTCAAACTCCATGATTTTTATTAAAGATCTTCAGTTTAAAAAAAAGTGCACAGAAATCTCCTTGCACTGGGGCACACCTTTTCTAGTCTGAATCAAATTATGAATGCAAGGGTGCTGTGCCAGCACTTTCTCCAAAGACACTCTTTTTCCTTATTTGTTCCTGCCCTCCACACAAATACTCAGACACATCCAAGCAAAGGTAAAAAGTAAAAAAAAAAAAAACTAACCAAACCCGCTCAGATTTAAACACAGACAAGCTCCTTGATTCAGTGTGCCCTGTAATCACAGAAACCATCCTCAATGCAAAGGAGGATGGATCACTGAGCAGCGAGGCTAGAACTTTCCCAGCCCATAATACATGAAAAACTACATACTCAGTACAAGGCCATACCAACTTGGAAGCATGCCTGAATCTTTCAAAGCAGAAATCAGATTTATAGTTCATCATATTTACTTTTTAACCCTAACTGAAACTTCATGTCTCATGGCCACATGCATGGGCATGGGGCTTTCTAGTTCTACATGCTCCATTTCCATAAAATATCTTGGAAACACAAGTGACAGAAGACTGTACACATCCCTCCCATTTAAGTGGCCGAAGCTTACAGAACCTTAAGAGTGCTGTTGCTCCAAAAGGACAACAGTACTCATCTTACTTCTGATCTTTGGAATGACTCAATATAGTTGTGCAAGTCTCTTTGAAAGACAACATGAAATTTTTAGACAACATCGACTTCTGAGAGAAAATAGCTTGATCTAGATACAAAATCTTCTAAATAAATCCACTGAAGTTGCTCAGTAACAAACTTAAGATGTTTCCAATTCAACCCAAGTCCTTAGAAACACAATGTTCCTGCAACACTGCATGAAAGCTGAAACAAGTTCCTTAAGATGTAGCTGAATTGGGCCCACTTTGCTGGTATTTGGACTGTAGACCATCTTAACCTCATTCTGAAAACCAGGCTTCTTGCCTAAATTACACTGAATGTTTTCTCATCCATACGCCAGCTGCCACCCAGCAAAATCGATTGACAAACTTCCACAGGAGTTGGCTGCAAATTTAAACTTCGGGAAGACTTCAAAACCTTCATCCTTCTCCACTTCCTCCTTCGAAAGCCATCTTCTCACCGACCAACAAACATGGTTATTGCCTACAGCAAAACAACGAGTTATAAAACAAACAAAAAACAAAACAAAACAAAAAAAAGCGAACCCAGGTGGGTGGTTCAGCAGGACAGCAGCTGCAACGGCGAACGATGAATGAAGCGAGCACAGGGTATTTCCCGGAGCCCGGGGTGCCTCACCGCGGCCAGCGCCGGGACGCGGAGGGCGAGCGAGCCCCGCCGCTGCCCCAGGCGAGCGGACACGGTGCGGGAGGCGGGCGGCGCTGGGGCCGGCTTGCCCCGGCCGTACGGAGCCGCGGCCGGGGCGGTGGCGCCGGGACTCCGCTCCCGGCTGGCTCGGGGTACGAGCTGGGGCCTCCTCAACGCTCTCCCCGCAGCCCGGGCCTCCCGCTCCGCCACTCACCAGGATGCGCTTGAAGAGCGCGTTTTCCTTGGGCGGCAGGCTCACAGACGGCATCCTCCCCGCTGCCGGCTCCGGCGCCGCCGAGGGGTTCCGAGGAGGAGACTGAGTGGGCGGGCGGGCGGGCTATGTCCCGTCTCCCCCGCTCGGCCGCCGCCGCTGTGAGCCTCCCCGCTGGAACCGAGCCGCTCCCGCCGCCTGCCGCCCGCGGGCCCGGCCCTTCCCAGCCCCTCCGGCCGCCGCGCGCGCCGGGCTCCCCGCGCCAGCCCCGGGCGCGCTCACGTGGTCCCGAGCGGCCGCCGAGCCGCCGCCAAAATGGCACCGCCGCGCTTCCCCAGCCGGGTCACGGCGGCCCCGCGCATGCGCCGCGGCCCCGCGCCGGCCCCGCCCCGCCGGTTGTGTGCGCTCTGCCGCGGAGCCGGGGCCAGCCGCGGGCGGTTCCCCAGCGGCAGCGCCACTGCCCGGTGCCGGTGGCGGGCGGGGAAGAGCGGGCAGCCATGGAGTTGCGCAGGGTCCGCCGGGTCTTGCGCGGCGGAGCTTGCCCGCCCGAGCACCGGGCACGGGCGGGGCGGCGTGGCCCCACCCCCTCGGGCGGAGCCGGGTCCGGTGGACAAGATGGCGGCGGGGCTGAGGGCGGTGCAGCGCTGGAGGCTGGCGGCGGCAGCACCTGGCCTCGGTGAGCGGCGGCGGGGCGAGACCGCCTTCGGGGCAGGCCGGTGGGCTCTGCCCCAGCCCGGCCCACTGACCTAGGGGCGCGGGAGCTCTGCTGCCTGCTCAGGCGGCGGCGTCCCCGCCAGCCGATCCGCCTCCAGGTTTAGAGGAAGCTTCGGTGGCAGCTTCTCTCCTTTTACTGTTTTTAATCGAAGCCCGTTAGTTATTTTTAAAATCATTTATTTACCTGTTTTAAGTTGGCATTGCTTCCAGGCCGGGGGGAGGGCTCACCATGTCTCGCCGCGACGGTGGTGCCGGCTCTTACCAGGAAGGCTGTGGCCGTACGCGCTTGATGAGCGGGGGATCGGAGGTGGGGCTGGGAGCTTTAGGCAGGGGACAGTCAAAGGCATCCTTATAGAGCAGAAGATGCGGGGAGGAGTAGTTATTGTGGCTGGGGAACAGGCAAAAAGCACCGCTTTTGAGTTGCTGGCAGCCCCCTTCCCCCCCCGTCCCCTCTCTGGCGGATCAGGGAGCATATGCTGCGGGGATCCTACGAATGGATCGGGTATACCAATGTTATGGAGACCACTTCGTCATTGCAGTCATTTGGGGTTTGTGTTGTGGTTTGGTTGTTTTCCCTCATTGCACGAATGTCAGTAAGTACTTGGTAGTCTAACCCTGAGGAATGTTAATATATTTGTAACCTTGTGCCTTTTTAGCTTTTACTCGTTCTGCATTTGTTGTGGGAAAACAGAATAATGCCCAACCAAACTGGCTGGGAGTTGGCTTGGCATTTAGCACCAGTGCTGCCTTGTGGGCTCTTGTAAGTTGAACTTTGGTTTTGTTGAACTTAATTATTTCTTTAAAAATCATAATAGTGATATGAATGCAGTTACTGCAACCTACTGAGTTTATTGAGGTAAATGGAATGGTCATAGCAGGTGTCAAATTTGAAGCATGATTATATTCATTTTTTATGGTTTCCCAGCCTTATGCTGTGCTCTTATTTTAAGAAATGAACAACTTTTTAAATTTCTCTCTGTTGCAAATTTAAAACATCTACCACAGAACTAATTCTTCAAGCCTGTTGGATTAATGCTTTGGCATTATTTTCCCCATGGTCTTTCCAAAAAAGAAAGAAGATCTAGGGATGTGTCCAGATAATGTTTATCAGACTACCAATGCATTCTCTTCTTACTTTTCAGCTGGTTAAAATGGTTTTAGCTGTTTTCAATACATTAAGGCCCCCTTTTCCTGAGCAAATTGCAGATGTAAGACAGTCTCTGTTTCAGAGAACTCACAGACTTTATGGTGTTAAAGCAAGCAAGGTGTAGTAGCTCTCAGAAAGAATCATGTAGGATCAACAGCACTCCCCATGGTGACAGTGTTTTCAGAGTGGGATGGATTCCCTTTGGGGTTTTCCGCATATTTGGGAGTGGTTAATTAATTGGCAGTGGGAGCCCCCTCCCCCATCTGGTCAGGAGAGAATGTTTGTCCTATGAGGCTCTATTTTTACACCTTTTTCAGTTGTTAATTTATATATGTTGTGTTCTGGATGGTCCCAGTTACATACAGGTTTGCATTCTGGTAACAGGTATTTTATATTCTGTAGAACTCTTTTTGTTGTCTGGATCCAGCTGTGAACTCTATAGCTGTGTATAACATACTGCTATTTTATAGCTTGTCAAGCAGCATAATGATGATGTAATGGAATATGAAAGAAGAAAACAAGTGAGAGGACATAAGTGTACAGGATGCTCATAGTAAGTATGCACATACACGTGCTTTTGGCTTAGCTGAACATAAATTCTGAAGATCTTTGACATCTTTTAGGAGTCAAGATACTGAACTGACTTATAGTCGTCTTTTTTTCATCAGTACTTTGCATTTTGGCTTTTGCTATTCTTTTAAATAATTTCCAGCTTTAAAATTATAAGGTGACCGATCTATATTTTCACATATTCACTTGTGTGCGTATTCCCTCTTAGCTTTCTATCTTGAACATGCAAACTCTTAGAAATTAACATATCTCTTACAGTGTCTACAATAAAGGTTGTAAATTGAATACCTTATAAGTGGCTCAGTGTCAAGGAAACAAGAGTGACTAATGATAGCTTATCTTGTCATCTTCTTTTTTATTTTAACATGTATAAAATGGAGTATGTTTTTTCTCATTTTCACATCTATATTACACAAAAAGTGATGTAAAGTCAATGCCTGTAGATGTGCACTAGAGGGCAAAGTGTATGTGGTCATTGTCCCTTTTCAGTACAAAAACATAATTTGTGTTTCTGCCAGTCTTTGGGGATTATGGCCTCAGAGCAATTAATATGCCACATGAAAAAAATCCTTATACTATAGAAAAACTTGTGGTGCTATGGTTATTTTTCCCCATAAACATTCCTCTCCAGATAAAAATGCAGGATGTTATGAGATGTTACTTGCCACTTTCGTCCCATCTATTTTTCTTATTGGTAAGAATTTTTTCTTTTCTTTCTTAGGCTGATGACATGGTCACAAAGATACGTGCACTACAGAGCCAAGTGTATGTGGTTGTCCTACAAATAAATGAGCACAGAAGAAGTGAAAAGTTATCTAATTACTTGTATGTTCATACATTTTATGTGCATAATTAAAAATAAAGTCTAGAAGAAACCTGAAACTACTTTCTTTGCCATTAATATTTCATTCTGCTGGTCTTGAAGTTTTCATTTCTGTTTCAGAGTTTATCGGTCTTAGTTTCAAAACTGCCTTTGCTATTCTGGAAGGTATATTACAAAATTAAACATCAGTTCAGATGAAGTTCAGTCGATACTCCAGAGTTGTCTTGCTCTGCCATCACTTTCACTGCTAAATTTATAAAATAAGCAAATATAAAAATAGGATCTGTAAAAATGCTAAAATATGCATTTTCCTATGAGCATTTTGGGAGCTGGCCGTGCCTGAAAGGTGCCTAGAGGGGATGGACTGCACAGCCCATGTCAGTCTTGGGTGTGAGCACTGCCTTCTGAACACGTCTGTCCTCTCGCATCAAGGTCAGTCAAGGACAAAGGCTGGAAAAATGGCATCGTGGCAGTTGGCAGAATATGGCATAGACAAAGAAGCTGTGTATAGAGAAAGGAGGAGAAACGGGGCTACTGCCTAACAATGTAGGCAGGACAAGGATAGCTGCACAGGTTCGACCTGGAGATGCCCATGCCTGTGACAGTCGACATGATCCCAGAGCAGCGATTCACTTCGAGTGTTCCACTGCCAACACGAAATGCCTTTGGCACAGCGCTTAAGCCGAGTGCCCTTCGCCGTTAATTTAGTTGATGTCTCAATTTTTTTTTTCTCTTGGAGAAATGCCTTTTGAAGTAAAACAGTAGTTCCTCACTATTTTCCCTCTCCTTGGTAAATGCCAACCCTATTATCCCGGGTCTGTTGTTGCAGTCAGTACCGAAGCCGTTTACTTGCCATGGGGCAGGTCGGTGTCGGCAGCACCCTGCCCTGCACAATGTACGCTGCAGAAAGCCGCTTGCCCCTCCCGCTGCAGCTGCGGTTCTGCTCGCTCCCCGCCGCCACCGCGCCGACCCCGGGACGCCCCCGGCCGGGCACGGCGTCCAGGTGCGCGGGGCGGGGCTGCGGCTCGACCCGCCCTCACGGCACCCGAGGCGGGACCGCTGTCTGCCGCCGCATCCCCGCCGCGACGGGCAGCTCAAAGTCGGCTTAGTTGTGCTCCGCGCCGCCGCCCGCTGCTCCGGCACCATGTCCCTCTGCAGGGCCGCCTCGCAGGCGCTGGCCTCCCGCCTGAGCAGGGCTCCTGCCGCCGCCGGCCGCCTCAAGCAGCGTGGTACGCGGGGCCGCCGCGGAGCCGGGCCGGGGCCGCGTACGCTCCCCGGAATGGGGTGGACAGGGTGGCGGCGGCGGAGGGGACGCGAAGGTGGCGGGCGGGGGCGGCGTGGGGCCGGGACAGGTGCGGCGGCGGCGGGCGGCAGCCGGACACGGCTCGCAGCATCCCGGGCTCCGGCACTGGCTGCTTCAGACCTCCGCACCGACCCGCTGGGCAGCCCAGCCGGTCCGAGGTCCCCTAGCCCGCCCCATGGCAAAACGGGCCGCTGCTGCCTTCCCTTCCATGTAAAATAGCGGGGTGCATACCCCCCGATAGAGCAGCCGGAGCGGCGGTGCCTCCAGGGCTGCCGACCCCGGTAGGGAACGGGAGCGGCCCCGGTGCGCCACAACCATGGCTTTTGGCGCATCAGGGATTGTGTAACCACTGGCAAAAAAAATTCTGCCAGCCGTGTTGGGCGATGGCAGCTTGCTGATCACTATCCTGCTATAGCTAGCAGCCCCGGGGGAGGGGGTTAAGAACACCCTGCTGCTGAACGAAAATGTAAATGTATGCAAATCCATTGGAATGCCCGGCTATTGGAGAACAGTCTGAGAATTGTGTCATGAGACAGATAATGCTAAATATAACCTAGCACACGATGGCATCGTTTTGACATTGTGATTATTTTGCAGCTGTCAATTGCAATGCGCAGAGCCATTTTATTTTTTATGAGGGCTTTTTCAACGAGACATTTCTCATCTGGAATCAAGTCACAAAATTCCACAGGAAACTTTGTTGACAGGAGAATTATGTGTGTTTTTCTTGGGTCTCTTTTTGAGGTGTACAGATGAATCCAAGACTGTAGTAAGAATCAGTTTATAACAAATGAATGGGTAGCACGGCTGTTAGAGTTAATATGTATCCAGTCAGGTAAAAAATTGTGTAATCCTACCTCTCTGCCCTGTCGGCCAATTCATGAGATGAAGGGTATGTATCAAAGTGTCAGCAGTCTGAGAATGACAGAACATAAATTCAAATTAAATAGATTTTTTAAAATTTCCTGTTATTACGCTGAAGAGAGAATTCATTACTTCTGCTGATCAGAAGGAATAAGGACAGATAATTATTTTACCTACCCTAGTCAGGAAATTTTTTTTTTTTTAACATTCCTTAGTCTATATAGACTGTGCCCAGTATTTGGAAGCTGATGGCAGACAATGTAGTTCACAGAAAAACCTCTTAGGAAGAGCTCAGCCATGGAGCACCACACCCTGTGTTGCTCAGTCTTAGGATACATCAGTATACATCAACATTTGTTTTATAACCTTTTTGAATAATCCTTTCTCACACAGAGTTCGGATTCCATAATTCTTTTTTGGATCATATTTTAGCAGCACTTTACATCAATTTACCTAATGGTTTTTATAGCACCTCCTCGCCAGATGTCATCTGGGAGTGTTCCTGGCTCTTCTAGAGACAGCATGATGATCTATCTCCTTGCTGGTGTTGCTGCTTTTGGTGGTTTATTTTATGTAAGTGTTTGGGGATGGAGCTGTTTGTGCTTTCTGAGCCAGCATGGTATAAGGTGTGTTCTTTCTTAAACAGTATGGTCAAAATGCAAACCATTAAAGAACGTAGATATTGTAGCATGTAGCATATAGCTAAGTGCAGCCTAACTTAGAAATCAGCTTAAGAGAATTTAGCTTGCTTGCTTGCCTATTTTACTGTTATTTTGATAAGTAGTGCTGGGTCACTCTTAGTGGAAAGCATATTTAAAACTATATGAAATTAATGTGTGCAAAGACTGAGTAAGGCACCTGTCTCTAACCCCTTGACTTGTCTTGTCAACCAGAAACATTAGTAATATTTCAAAGTGGGGAAGGCACATGTGAAATAAGCAATCTGAAGCTGCAAGGGGAACATACGAACCTTGTTAATTTGGGTAAAAAAAAAGAAGATATCAGCATTAGTTACTTCAAGAAAGCATGTTGAAGTTTTGTAAGCATCTGCTTTTGTTAAGCTTTACAGTAATCATTCTCTTCCCTGCTTCTAAATGGATCTGATGCTTCACATCCCTAAATCCTCCATTCCATAGCTTACTTCTAGCCCTCTCCCCCAAGATCTGAGATAGTGCCTAGCACACCCCAGAGAGGTACATATTTCCCTGTCCCACAGAGTAATCCTCTTGAATGGTAGTAGTTATTAGTTCAACATATCAAACATGTGTGATTGCATTTTTTACCACATTGCAAAATTAGAAGCCTTAACATAATTATATTTTAAAAAACTGGTTTCAATTCCTGAAACACTGCAGCACTTCAAAAGTTGCATGGTATATTGTATTTGCTTTCTAACAATGGAGATATATGAAATACATAAATATATTAGTATAGCAGATTGTTAATTTTTTTAACCTTGCTTAGGATAAATTTTATATGCATTTTAAGATGGGCAGAAGCACTTGCTTAAAATTCCTTCTCTCCCTCTCCCCTCATTTGTTTGGTAAATTTGTAGGGATGTAGCTGTAAATTCAGGTACAATTCCCTTTCAGGCCTACAGAGTAGTCAGTTCATCCCGCAGCAAGTTTGTTGAACATTCAAGTATTCTTCGTGAGAGAACCGAGGGGCAGAACAGCAATCCTTGGTCAAGGAAGGGTGAGTTGAGCTCTTTTGTCTTGTTCCCTGGGTACATGAGGATTTGGAACAGATTTCTGGATTGTCTAATCAGGATTTGGCACTGTCTATGTCCTTGTCTGAACTGTGTGAGTGGGAGTGAAGACAGAGGTGGTTGTGCAGTATTGTTCTGTTACAAAGCTGCTGCTGCACAAATTTAAGTGGCCTTAATATTCAGGCAGTGAATCTGGTCTTTGATCCACCTGCGGAGTCTCTTCAGATGGAAAGAGTTGATGTGTGAATTATATAATAGGTATTTGATTTACTGGAAGCTTAATGAAACTTGACTGAATACATAATGCTGTCAAAATAAATTCTGTGCTTTTGTTTTCACTGGGGAGGAAAAGATAATATCTTTTTCAGTCAACAGGCTGGCTTCAGGCCACATGCCATCAGGAAATACAGTTCAGTAGGGGAAAAAAACCTACATTAAAAAAAAAAAACAAACTGTTGTAACTTGGATCAATTTTTTTCCTACAACTTTGATTTTGTCTTTTCTAATTTAGGGTTAAATGAAAGGCAGGCATTACCTAAATGTATAGCAAATCCTTCTTTAGCTCTTCATACTTGAATAATTAGACCATGTTAGTTCAAATACTTGTAATGGAATGTTGTCCCTGTCTACATCAATTAGTGTTATAGCATTAATGTCAAAGGTATAACTCTGGCAAGCATGGCCTTGCTAGAAAAAGAAATTAGGAAAATTTCTTAAGGATCTTTATATATTTTTATTTGGTTGTTATTTTAAAAAATAAATATAGCATTAAAGCCAGAACACTTGAAGCTCTTCCTTTTTTTTTTTTTTTTTTTTTTTTTAAGGTTGACTTCTAGGGAAGTGATTTAATATATTTACATATACACAAAGAATAGGTTTGAATAAAGTATCTCAAGTTTAAATTTTGTTTTCAGTATAACAGCATGGTTTAAATTGTCTGACTGTATAATTATTTCTTTAGAAGTTGTTATCCTTGAACTTCTACAACACATGCTTTAGTTTCAGAACATTAAAATTACAGATCTTAAGAATTAAAGTAGTAAAATACCTTAATTTCCAAAAAAGAAAGCAGCTGAATACAGTATAGTTTTAAAACTCAGTTGTTTAAATAAATACTGAGAATTCAGCCACAATCCTTCTTTGTCCCTAAAATAGAAAATGTAACGAGGACCAAAGTAGATCTCTCCTAGAGACCTGGTCTCCTACTATTCAGGGCAGACGTAAGGATTACCCTCATTACATTCTGACTGCCATAGTTGGGAGAACGGGGGAGCATTAAGCAAACCTTCCAACATATTCCCAGTGATGTCAGTGTATTCTCTTTCCTCCTGAGGTGCACTTCTGCAAGGTACTGAGTTTTGGCCCTGGCCATGTTGGAGTGAAATACCTGAGCAGTACTGAGTGCTCAGCAACTGATCGTAGGTTATCTCAGACATGCCATCATCTGCTGCTTAATAAGTCACATAAATGTCACAACCAGTGGCAGATGATTGCTGCCTCCCTTTTTATTGATAGTAAGAAGTCCAAAATGTTTCTCAGGCCATTCAGTGAATACAGTTGAAACTTGTTTCCTGTATTATTTTCAATATTTGACTTCTGAATAAATGCTCAACCCAGAGTTTTTAGCTGGACTTCTGAGTAGCTAATTCCAATTCACAGTACAAAACCACTGTTGAATCAGCTCCTTTTAAAAATCCTTCTTCATTCCCAGATGTATACACCCAAAAGAACAGGACATTAAGAACGAGCATCAGTTCTGTTCTTACTTTTCCTACAGAATCCTCTGTGTGCATTTTCAATAGAGTTAACACCCCTCTTCTGTCGCTATAGGACATGTGAAAGCACAACGCGAGCCACTTGCTATTTTGCAAGGTAAAAGAGAGCATTTATTTTTTGACTCCAACTTTTATACTTTTCCAAAGCTGACAGTGGATTGGAGAGTGAATGGGCCACCTCTCCAAAGACATTGGACAAACCACTAGTACATCAAGTTTTTCCACCCCCATGAAGGAATGTAAAACAATATGTTGTTTACAGAAATTGTGTGGGAAAGTTTTCTAACAGAATGTAAACTCAGAAGGCTTTAGAAAAACTTAAGAATCAGGGCAACACCTCTTCCTTCCCTTTTTTCTCCCATTCCTTCCATAGTCATATTTTTTGTTTATCTTGTTACAGAGTGTTAGAATAGTATTGCTTTTCACAGAAGTGCCATTGCAGTTTCTTTCCCTGTGCATTCTTTAGAGTCAGTCCTTATACGTTTTCACAGTAAGCATTGCTCATAAGACCAATTAAAAATTCTGTTCTCAAAGTATTCTGATATTTTTTTAGGGGCATTAAATCAAGCTTAAAAAAAGCTCTAAAACAGAGCTGGTAACCATATGAAGTGGTGGATAGAAAAGGATATGCCAAGCAGCATGTTCATGGCATATTTGCTGCCTATGGTAGAAGAACTTCCTAGGTGGAAGAACTGAATGCTGGAGAGCAGCTGATCAGAGATTCTTTTGATAGGATTTTTGTGATTTCTCATGCGGGGGAAAATTCTCCCCTTATGCCTGATCACAAAATGTCTATTACAGATAACTGTAGATAGCAAACAAGTCTGTCAAAACAAGAGAAAGAATCATTGGAGGGTTGAAATTATATTTAATGATATTTTAATTAATGATAACAGACATGTAGAAAGAGATCTGATAGCAAAATTTCTGTGGTTCTTTTTAACTGAAAGCTACTCTAAAAATAAGAGAGGGATTTAAAATATCCCTGGAAGAAACCTGACTCAAAGTAGCAGTAGAAAATCTGGGACATCATTTGAGATGTAAAATGATGTTTGGCTTGCAGGATGTTCTCCTTGCTTATTTAGTGAATACTGAGTTTTGTTTTCCATTTGTTGTTCTTGTCCTTTAAGATTGTTCCTAATTTTTTCTGTTATAGCTAAGACTTTTCTTTTTAACTCGTTGCAAGCTGATTCAATCTTTCTAATCTATACTCTGCTTTTACACTTTCCAGACTTTCTAATCTATGTTCTGCTTTTACACTTTCCAGACACAAGGGAAATCTCTTTCCAAACCTGAGGAAGTTAAATACAAACAAAGGACAATCGTTTACCATTAAGTACATTGCAGCCTACCTTGGGATGACTTTGTGCCTTCTATTGTAAAGCCCCAATTGTGTGAGACTTTAAAAGAACTATCTATGTTTGCAAGGCCAAACCATATTGAGCTTATTACTGAATCTGCTTTGTAGAAGGCAGTTCTGAGATGGAGAAGCTGGCTGTTCTGAATTAATGCACTCTATATTTGACTGTCCAATAAAGTGTACTGAATGCTGATCTTGGCTGTTAACCTGTTCTTTATGTAATGAGTTAACGATTTTTTTTAAAACAGTGTTTTCTTAAAGGGACATGATCAGGTTTCATAATGCAAAGTTTTGATTTTTACTGAGCAATGAATGGGCTTGTCTTGAAACCTGAACCAAAATTATAGGCTTTCACTGGCATAAGAAGATCAAGAAATAAAATCGATCTGTTTGGTTTTTAAACAGATACAAAAGACTCAAACAAACTCTGACTGTGTCTCTTTAAGATCTTTTGTTTCAATTCTCACATAGCTTACACTGTGTTACAAACTTATTTCTGTTTTTTTTTACGTGGTGAGTCGGTTCTAGTGGTGAACTTGTGACGAACAGCTGATGAACAGTTATACTGTTGATGAACAGTATAACTTTTCCTTCGTGAACATAATGTTAGCGCATGTTTGCATGGTGGTTGAGCATCTATCTTGCTTTGTGCTGTTAGTTTTTCATGACTTGTCTCAGCTGAATTTGAAGTCATGCATGGCTGGGAAACATTGTTTTTCAGGTTCTAAAGAGTTGGACCCAAAGTGGTGTAAACAAGTCTTTAAAAGATAGTTGTGAGTTGTAAAAAGAAAATAGTCAGTTCTAAGTGGTCATATATCTAAGAAAGAGAGCTCTGACCACTTGAAATTAGGAAGTTATTTTCTCACTTGTATAAAACCAAATGTCTTCTTCCCCACGTGGTTATTCCACAGTGTCATGCTCCCTCTGGCACCTGTGTGTGTACCATCACTGGCCCTTTCTGCAGAGTGGTTTCAAGCAACACTTGACAATGTCCTTTGTTATCCTTCCCTGCTCCCCCAACAATTGCTTTAAGCCACAGTTTCTTTTCGTATCACACTGAAACATGTTATGAAACTCAGTAATTAAGAATATGGTTTCCTCATCTTATAAACATAGTTTTTTGATGCCAAATCAGACAATATGAGGGATTAATTATTGATCTTTTTGTTAATTCTGATCCCAAGTCTTAGCTTTCCACTTCAAATTTAAATGAGGATGATGATAAAAAGTAGTTGGTGAATTTTTTGTTGCATGCATGCATTTTACTCTCTTTATTGTATTGAATAAATTCTTAGAAGGTGATGGAGAAGAGGTGCATGAAGTCACTGAAGCAGAGAAGGCCACGGAAAAAGCTGATGCAGCAGCTGCTGTTGGACCTGCAGCACAGGATGAGAGTGCTGGACCCAGAGTACAGGATGAGACTTCTGGGGTATCTCCAGAAGCTGGAGGGGAGAATGACTTACTGCCTCCAGAAGTATCCCATGCTATGGAGGAAGAACAGCAGGAAGCTGCTGCTAATTCAGAAGCTGCTGCTAATTTGGAACTTGCTGCTAATTCAGAAGCTGCTGCAGTTCAAGGTTAACTTATGAATGTAGTTTTTGAGTGTGTGTGTCTTGTGGGTTCTAAAGCTCTGCCTCTTACAGAACATTAAGAACAAGCATCAGTGTTCCTAATGGGGTTTGCCCTGCAGTGAAAACTAATTCAGGCATTAACATTGACATATCATGAGCCTGAGGTAATCAAGTTTATTAAATCAGGGTCTCTGAAAGCATTCCACCTCTGGCACCAGAGTTACTGTCTAAAAGAAGTAGAGTCAAATGTTTATTTTACTACCCCAACCTATTTATTAAGTTGAGCTTATAATGTGATCAGTTAAACAGTTTTTTAGTGATCTAGTTCTCAACGGTTTGTTAAGGAATCTAAACACTCTAGTTCACTAGCCATTCCAAAGATATTCACACTGAATAATTAAATTTGTTCTATCAATGTAACTTAAACAGGATCTTGCATAGCAAAGAAAATGCTGCCATGTTTTCAATTCTAAGGATATATTAGATTACATTTTCACAACACAATAAAACATTGAATTGTTGTTAAACACTGAAATTGGTAAGTGGCAAAGCATTCAGTATTTTGAGCTGTTGGTGTTTGAAATATTTTGGTTTATTGTGCTTTAAAAACAATTGCAATAGTATAAATGCAAAACTATCCATAAAATGCACAAGATACAGGATTATAATTTAATTTTTCAGATTTTTAAGTATTTAAAAAAAATTTCTTGTTACCACTGGTCTTGAGAGGATATTTCTAAAACACAGATCAAACTGAGATTAAAAGTATTTTGGCTGCTAATCTATGGGCGTTTATCATAGTACCATCAAAGGCGTTAGCAGATTCTGAATGATTTTTCTGAATGATTTCCAATTTTTTCCTTGGTGACTCCAGTGAGGAATGGGTGCATCTTAATTGCCTTTTTAACAAATAAACTCGAGAAATAGTGCAGCACTTCTAACTGCTGAGTTTTATTAAAGGTCTAGGTATGAATGCAATTTTAATTCAAATGTGAATAGTTCCTGTGCTTGTCTCTGAAACAATCTATTACAAATAACATTTTAAAACAATACTTAGAGTCTGATCTGCTGTAATACAGTTTATAGAAAGTAGAAGTAAGTAGCTTGTGTGTGATTATTACTGCTTGCATATAGAAATATTTATAAGGTAGTAGTTAAAATATCTAGAGCCCTAAAAATTTCAATTTCTATGGAATATGTAGACCACTTCATTTAGAAAGGAAGTTGTCTGTTTTATGTTAAATTTGGTGAATTAGAGCCATTAGGAGATAAGTTTAAAAATGTATTGCAGCATTTCTTGCTCTACCGAGCAATTGCAAAATTTCTGTTTAATTTCATAAGCACTTGCTTGTGTCTGGAAGTGGTTGTGTATTCCTTTCACAATGCTTATCTACAAATAACTGGTAATTGTTGGATAAGGTAGGATCTTCTGTATGGTATTTCTGCCATGTTATTGAAGAGGCTCTTCCCTGAGAAAGGGAAGCTAGGATCTTCCCTGAGAAACATGGTGCATAAATTTATTAGATATTAGGAATAAAGTCTTGTGAGGGTGGTGAGGCACGGGAACAGTTTCCCAGAGCAGCTGTGGATGCCCCATTCTTGGAGGTGTTCAAGGCCAGGTTGCATGGGGCTTTGAAGAACATGCTTTAGTGGAATGTGTCCCTGCCCTTGGCAGATGGTTCAAACTAGATGGTCTTTAAGGTCCCTTCCAACCCAAATCGCTCTGTGATGATTCTGTGATTAAGTGTGAGGATTTCATTCTGGACATATTGACATCATGTACTTAGTGATCACTATTTGATAAGAAGAAATAATGGCTTGTAATTGTTAGTTCCTGCTGGTGTTTTCTGAAGTGGAGCAGCTCTTTGGAAATTACTGACTTTTAAGATCTAGTATCTCTGGCAGCATAGTTACTGAGGAAACAGCACTAGAACCAGACTTCTGTTATTTCTCTTATTTTGTTATATGCTGGAAGTTGTAAGGGAGCCTGAGGGTCATCCCAGGTGCTCCCTACCAAACCTTGTTGCTGTGGTTATTCTTGGCTGGGTGGTAAAGCTAGCAGAAAAAAACCTTTGGGATGTAAAATTGTTGACAAATTGAAGCAAAGGAGTGTTCTTGCCTGATCTCTTGGGTGTTCCTGGGCTGCTATACCTTGCTCCTGAGAGTAGCTGTCCTGTGCCACTGGTCCCCAGTGCAGATTGCTGTGAACAACTGCTGCTGACAGGTGTGACCAGGGTGATGAACTCTGGGGACCCCCCCATGGTTCACATGAGGTTACACTCAGTGTAACCCAAGTCCTGGCCTGGAAAGCTGTACAGGCTTGTGCTCCAGGTCACCTTAGCACTCCCTGCTCCCCGTCCTGGTCCTGCCTGCAGAAGAAGAGCAGGGCCCCCGAGCAGTTCTTCCCAGGAGTTCCTGACTGTGGGAAGGAAGGCCATCAGCAGCATCTGCTCTGACACACAGGCCTGAACCAGCATCCCTTTCCTTTAAGCTATGTAAGAATTAGTTTCTATTGCCACCATGCTTACAAGAAGATGGGAGTTTGTTTCAAAACTTCTCTGCTTTCTCTGTACCACTTAGTTCATTGTCTACTTGCAGCCAACAGCTATTGTGTTTAAAAAAAATCTAATTAAAATCCTTCTGGATATAACTTTCAGTTTTGCATTTAATCATCTTTATCATTCATGTTATCTCCATTTAGAATAAAAAAATAGCATAGCTCCACTTTTATTGAGGTAGAGAAGGATTTTTCTTTCAGAACTTTGGAAAAAAGTATGTATTTAAGTAACTTTATTATTTATTATTTATTATTTATGTATTAAGTAACTTTAACTAGTTTTGTTGGCAACTTGGTATTACTTCTGCAGATGAAGGTGTAAGTATTTTTATTGTTACCAGTGAACCTCTGCTTTTTCAAATGCCATTGCTTCTTTTAATCTATTAAGCTTTCTCTAATGTTTGGCAGTTTGAGCTGTGAAGGAATACTTGTCTCCAGCTCTTGTATACAGATAATGTAAATGTATCATTGTACATGGATGTGCAAAAACCCCCCACCCAAAGCAAAACAGATAACAAACAAACAAACAAAAAACCAACCCAGCCTTGGAGGTGGATGCTTAATACTTAATCAGGGTAATTTCCATTTCAGGCAGTTAGCAATTGTACCTGCCTGGAATGTTCTCCTTGCCTCAAGTTAAGCAATTTGCAATCCAGAATTCCAATCTATAATTCTGTAAAATACTGTTACCAAAATAAGTACTAAACTGTGTTACTCTGTTCCCAAGGTTTTAACTTCCTCTAAATTATAATTTTCTCTACCTTTTTATTGCTTGAGCTGTCACTCTTGGTTACTGCCTAATGCTGGTTAAAGTCATGTTCTCCTTCTAGTGTACTCTATGTCTGGGACCATAAATTAAGTTTTTCTTCAGACAAACCAAATGCTGTAAAATTTACCGATTGGCAA